CTATGTAATTTGATGATAATTCTAATACAATATGACTTAATACATCTTTATAGCATAAATCAAAGTAAGTATACGTCCATACGATTCCAAAAAATATAGAGAACGTCTGAATCTGACTTCGAGTGAAGAAGTTATGATAAACCGAACACTATAAATCTCTATAATAAGAGGAATTAAAAATATACTTATAATTAGCTATTGGAGTCTAAAAGAGAGTTGTAGTACTCGTGAATACCTACACGTGGATATAAAGAACGTAAAAAACGGAGTTCGTATGCGAAAGTTATGACCTTCCGAAGATTCGGCTGTCGGAAACCCTAAATTAGACTGAACTCACGACGTGAGCATAGAAACTCACGACGTGAGGAGTCAAACCACCACATTTCGGATCTAGAAGGTGTGACGAGGCTGCGAGGGGATAAGATCCAAACTCACGACGTGAACAAGGAGTTTTTCACGACGTGAGGAGTCATTTTGCCACCTTCGGAAGCTAGAAGACGGATGACAAGTCTACGAAGAGATAAGCTCGAAACTCACGACGTGAACAATGAGTTTCTCACGTCGTGAGGGTCCAAAATCCTTACTATAAATAGCAGGTCCGACTTCAGCTATTCCTTACACCATTCCCCTTGCATCCCGAGCCCCGACGACCTCGTACGCTGACCGTTTCTGCTTAGATTACATAATCACGCTATTAAGGTGAGTTTCACGGCCCCACTTTCTAATATTTAGGGGAAAACCGCATGCTAAATATTGTATATACGTTATTATTATGTCTATATGATAGTATATTAGTATCACATAGATAGTTATAATAACCGGGATATAGTTATTTCGTATCTGAAAATATACAACTATCGTAAAGTTGTTAGCATGTTATTGTTATAGTAGTATACTAAGTAGATCTTGAGTTATAACTTAGGATTCTATATATATGTTGTGCGATATAGTTCCAGAGTTATACTCGGAAGTTCTATATGTTATTGATAAGTATGTTGTTATTATTGGTTTTATGTCAAGATTAAAACCAGGTATGTTATATGTTGTTGTTATTGGTTTTATGTCAAGATAAAACCTGGTTTTAATTCTAATTATAGTTGTTGTACTACCGCAAGGTGTGATCATTCTACTACCGCAAGGTGAAATCCTTGTACTACCGCAAGGTGTAATCCTTCTACTACCGCAAGGTGTAATCCTTGTACTACCGCAATGTGTGCTCCTTGTAATAATAATAAGAGGTATAAAAACTAAGTCATACAGTCGCAGTACAGACTAATGGTAGCATAACTTTAGAAGCATTATACTTTGTCGATATACAAGTATGAATGTTAAGTATAAGTTTCCCAAAAGACTTATACTCTAAGTATAAGAATCTAGTAGGTATATTACTTGTATATTAAGTAGAACACTACACCTATTCCACTTACTCGTATAGAATTGAAATAGATTTATACGTAGCGGGTTTACTCGTATAGATTGAAATAGTATTTATACGTAGCAATTTCGTTTGTATGGAATTACAAACACTTATAATCATAGTATATGAGACTTATAGGTAAACTACTTATTTGGTAAGTAAACTTTTATATCTAGGATATAT